CACATAATTCAACAATTATGAATATAATGCATACACAATTTATGTAGAATCTAAAATTCGAAAAACGTAAAGTTGGGTCATGCATTATGGTGAATGTTCATGATATCAGGGCTGCAAAAATATCGAGATAAAAACCATTGTTTTGGACGAACCTGATTGCGTGATGATATGGATGAACTGGTTGAAGCAGAAAAAGCTTCCTCGTCAGATTCCTAAGCTTAATGGTAGAAACGTGTGTTGTAGCCTATTTTATCTAACAAGGAGAAGGAGGCCGGCGGCAAGGAGAGGGAGAGAAGAGAGATGTGTTTGTAGAATTGTAGGGGAATATGTGTGTTATTCTCTCCTACGCTAGTGCCTTTATTTATAGTAATAAGAGGGAGAAGAAATCATTCATCCCCAAGGAATACAAGTTCCTATAGGAAAGAATAACTATACTCAAATCTAATCTAGGATTTACACAATCACACTTAAACTAAGAAAGTTCATAACATAAAATGATTTATACTTCAAATTATTTTTTCTTCTAAACAAACGATAATCTAAACTAAGGGGGTGGGGGTGTGGGCTAAACCTCACAATGGGTAGCAATAATTTGGTTTGAAGTCGTCTTTGGGGAGAATCAAACCTGAAACCTCTCACTTACAAATGAAGAGGAATATCATTAGATCGTAATACTAAGTGGTGATTCATACTTCAATTGAGTATGGTACAAGTATCATGAAGAAGTTTAAATTCAGTAGATACAAATGGTAGCCTAAAATAACATATATGTCTAATCAATCTTATGCCTCTCAAACACCAAAATGATGCAAAATTAAAAGTATGTGTCTTCCATGATCCATCCCTATAGATACACCACAAAAGGTAAAAGCAAATTAGATTACCACCATTTAAGAAAAAAAATAAGAAACAAAATAATAAATTATGTAGCTCACAAACATGAAACGAAATGAACAAAGCCACCTACTTATCACAAAACAAAGAGAAAACAAAACCTACAAAACAAACAAAAGATCAAACCTAAATTTAGCCGATCTGAATTTATGCTGTAATTCATCATCTTCATAACGCACCTAATATTATACAAAAATAAAACGGGAAAATATGTATGAAGGAACACCTAACAAATTTCACTTCAATTTTTTCACACCCCACCATCAAATTTACCTGCAAAACAACAGTTTGATAGAAGAAGAAAAAAAACTTCAATCAAACTAAACAAACTTAGTTTTTTTTCTCTATTACAATTTTTTTTCTCTATTACAAACCCTTTTAAATCTCTATTATGCTGTCTTAGACCCATCAAGGGGAATATTGAAAGGTAGAAAAATTAAACAAGAAATATAGAGAAGAAATATGAAGGAACAAGAAAAATAGAGACGAGGAGTTTCTGCCGTTAAAGAACATCAAGAGAGAAATAGGGGGAATGGGGGTGTTGGTTATTGTAGAATTAGGCAATTGATAAATTTCTTATTTATTTCGTTAAACAATTAAGGAAAAAAAAATCAAATATAAGAAGATAAATACACACACCCACTCATAATGTAAATTATTAAATTTTAAAAAATTAGGGCGCACTCCCTTTATGTGGCCTTTAGTTGTTCAACAAAAATATATGTATTAGAGGTTCATTTATCTGCTAATTTGTGGATGTGATTTTTTTCGTCCCTAAAAGTAGTAGCTGTAATAGGAGCATTTATTATTGTTATTCACCTATTACAATTAATAGAGACAAATCTATATTTCTGCTCCTAATAAAGATTAAAAAAAAAGATTAATAGTTAGGAGCAAATCCTTATATCCGCCTCTAATTCACCGCCCTAATAATCACTATTCTTGTAGCATATACAATTATTTCATCATGATCTCTAGCACTTGAACGAAAATTTGGGAATAATTTGAGGACCGTAGAGAGTAATTAGGTAGCGTTTAATTTTCAAATTTTATTACTATGCTTCGACTTATGAGTAATGCATGTTTTTATGTATCATATTTAGTGACCAATTAATTACCTATATGCATAGACAAATTCCTTATGTATGTGAGTAATTAAATAAATTTCTTTAAGAGGTGGTTGATAAATTTGTGAATATTTTTGCTTTTGTAGCAATTTTTTATTTATTTTAACAATGAGATAGACACGGGTTAAGATCTTATTAGTTAGAAACTCCAGATCAGCTAATATTTCAATCAAGTGGAAAATATTCTTCTGCGTAGAAAGGTATATTAATGCATGACAGTATGAGAGAGATAAAAAGATGTATTCATTTGTCACTTAGTACTATAGTCTAGTGGTATTCATACGGTCTAGTGATATTTCTCTTCACTTATAAGTGAGATATTTTAGATTCGATTATCACCGCCAAAAGTAAATTTGAACCACATTATTACTAGCTCATTGTGAGGCTAAGTCTACCCTCATTTTCCTTAGTGTAGATAATATCATTTGTTAAAAAAAACGTATTCATTTGTCTACCATAGTATAAGACAGTGGTCCAACATATGTCCCTGTCCATCCTTCGAAAACCCAACACATCCGAATATAGATATGTGGTCATTCTATTAAGGCTTTTTATGGTACTGTATCCGCATCTCCTCTACAAGATAATGCACGTACAATATAGAGAATGTGAAAAGAAAAGAAACAACGAATATCCATTTTCTCTCTTTGTTGAGGCTTCCCTTCTATTTTCCCTCGGTCGGCAGTAGCTCAGCTCTAATAGAGGAGATGTGGATATAGTACCAAAATTGGTAAAGAACTGAAGATGTTGTAGGTGATCCTCAGCACCTGCCAATTCTTGCTCTAGTTCTTGATATGCCTAGCCATTCCAAACATGTAAACGATATGCCGAATTGAAGTAGCAAATACTGCTGCTTTTTTCGATACAAGCACGTACCAACCTTTAAGGTTTGACAGACTGTTGATTAGGGTTTACAAATATAGTAGACTGAATAGAAAATCAGACTCCAAGACAATTAATAACATTTTAGATTAAAGCTTTTCTTCATGTCTGTCTCAATACAAAGGACCTAGGAGTTGAATTCATCTGCACGGCACTGCAGGCCATATTTACTGTATACATATACAGGATCCAAGTTTGCAACCGTATGGTATTACTCCTATGATCCTGTCAAATGTGAACTACTCTATACTCACACATGACACATGCATGTGAGATTTAGGATAATATCATGCATTGATGAATTGAAGGAGATAATTTATATATAACGTTTCTTCTAAAAGAAGTCATATTAAGAACAGTGCACACTTCTAATATATATAATAAGCTAAAAAAAAATCAATCCTCCCTTCCTAATTCCTATAACAGAATAAATATATTACCAGATCGCATGAAATATGTTACAATATTTAAGCATGATAGCTCGTTTTGGTAGTGCAGCAGGGTGGTTAGAATGTGGTAGGTAAATTTAGTAGCCTTTACTTTGTTAGTTCAAGTTGCCATGACTCTAGAAAAAAGAATGAGATGCAGCTCTATGTATTGGTCTCAATGAAGTAGTTCTGCAATACTGATTATTTTCAAACCCTATATTAAAATTTATTGCCACAATGAATTGTGTACAACTTTCACATGCATGACCTCAATCATCGTATGCATAGGGTCTAGATTCAGAAAAATTTCAAGTGTGACAGAGCTTGAGGCTTCAGCAAACCCATCAAATGCAACGCTAGCTCTAAATTCAGACTAGGGATGGGTAACGGTTATGGCGGGCGGGTAACCGCGGTTATTTATCCATAACCGTTTATTCTCATACCCGCATAACCGTTTACCCGTGGGGTAATTGTCTAAACGGTTATACACATACCCATAACCGTTTATAAACGGTTAACCATACCCATAACTATGTACCCATTTAACTGTAACCGTTCTGTACCCGTTTACCCTTTTATCATTTTTAAACTCGTTTATCCTTTCTTTTTTACCATTTACTCATTTTTCACCAGTCTACGTGTTTTTTTAACAACTTGAAAATTAAAAAAGAAAAATTTGTCATAATTTTGTTTTTCTAACAATTAAACACCGTTATAGGTACATTCATCATACATTTCCGCATTTTAATTTTTTAAGTCCGTATACCATTCCAATAATTGAAATAATAGTTTACAGACGGTATTTTTAACTATTAGCAATGAAGGCAATATAAAATTTGATAAGTATTCTTGGGTTACGAAAACTGTTAAAAGACAGTATTCTTGGGTTATTTGACTCGGAATGTAAAATATTAACATAATATATATTATGGACCATGAAATTTAAAGTGGTTAAGGAAAACTATATTATATTAGCTATAGAAATCATGCACTATAGTCAATAGAATTGATCCAAGTTTTGTCTGATAGGGAACATGGTTTGTGTTAATTTTACATATATAAAATAAATGGGTAAATGGTTACCCGTTTATAACCGCGGTTAATACCCATAACCGCCCATTTAAATTTCACAGGTAAACGGTTATACTCATAACCATTTATTTATCTAAATGATTATCCATAACCGTAACCGTGAAATTTAAATGGGCGGGTAACCGGGGTTACCCATAACCAATGGGTACTTGTCCATCTCTAATTCAGACAGCCGCCTGCGCTTCTTTGCTGATTCCCTTCTTCAGGTTGTAGTACTCCAGAAACACAGGTCATCACTGAAAAGTGAAAATTATAAAGGAAAAAAAATGAGAAAGAAAATTGTCATGCACAATCAGTTTTTGAATCAATACCAAAGTGAGAAATTAAATGGTACCTAAGGGAGGCATGCATAATTTAATTTTCTTTAGATGCATTAGTAATCACGCATACTGGATAATTCAAGTGCTAAATAAACAAAATTTAAGATTGTAGGTTTAATGTACACCAACTCGAATATATACGTATACCGTTTTGGTATAGTACATTGTAAAAATTTAACAGACTGCGGTTGGGAAATAGATGAATGAATTTCAACTGCCAATCCTAACAGAGCAAGCAAAAGAGTGCAGAAGAATTGCCGAGCAAATCTCCTTTGGCATAAAGCACACTACAAAAATAATGCAAGGCTGGCCAGCTTGTTCAGCCAGAATTAAGCATTTGTAATTGTAAGTGGCTACATGCCAGAGGAGACTTTGCTCTGTAATTTATGCAACTGCACAACCAAAAGCTTAAGTTGCGTAGTGTTGAAGTGGAGACTGTTATTTATGGCAACCCAGAAAGAGCATATGCTAGGGATCCTAAGGAACTATGCTTTCATTTGTCTGTTGAAAAGTAGAAGCTTCATTGACTTCATCCACAATTCGCGTCCGACTTTTTCATGGTAGAAAAACTTTAGTTGCACAGACTACTACTTTTGTTTCGGTTACAAGCTGTAAAGACTTCTTCATGAAGCTGATTTTACTGAATTGATTCGTGATTTTAAGTGGATTAAGTAATATGTTGCACTAGAAGAGAGAAAATAACTGCAACTAATCAAATTCACAATACTAAATCAGTGCCATATATACATGAGAGATTAATAGTCTAATGCTTTTTTATCTAGGGTTCTTATACAATTATAATCGGGATACTTTGGATGCGGTCCCTAATCCTTAACATTCTTTGATTAAAACCTTAATAGTATTCAAAGTTTGATCAAGGTCCCTTGACTTTGTACACCTCATTATATTACTATTAATATTTATATTTTTATAGTTTTGACATTAATTGTGTTGATATTTTATGATATTTATAATCCTATAAATTTAAAATCCCCCATTATAATACTATTAGAAATAGTTACAATAAAAAAATTCAAACATTTTGATTGAATAAATGGATAAAAACTATGTAAAAATAAGAAATAATAAATGGCAAAAGAATGTATCCATAGTGTTAAAAAAATTGGTACATTTTACAAAAAAAATTTGTACATTTTACAAAAAAAATTTGTACATTTCACATATAACAAAGTGGTACATTAATAAAGAAGAATGGGTACATTATAAATAAATTAGGGTACAGATAAAAAAATTAAAAATTATGAGTACAAATGAATTTTTTAAAAATATAGGTACTAAAAGAAATTAATACATGGGTACAAAATAAAACTAAAAAGAAAATACTACAAATTTAAAAAAAATGTTGCAAATTAAAAGTGGGTACAAACTAAAAATATAAATATACGATACAAAGTTTAGGCATAAAACATAAGTATACCATATGTAATTTTTTTATCATTGATTAAATATACAATATCACATGACGGTATACACATCGGTACAAAAAACTTTAAAAAATTTGGGCACAAAAAGAAACTAATATATGGGTACAAATTAAAAATGAAAAGAAAATTGGCAAATTAAAAAATATTTGCAAATTAAAAATAGGTACAAACTAAAAATAAAAATATATGATAAAAAAATTTAGCCATAAATATAAATATACTAATTGTAACATTTTTAACACTAAAGGAATATATTTAAAAATAAAAAATATTTTATTATTCAAATAATTAATGATGTTATTAATACCCAAGGACCTTGATCGAAAATTGAAAATGAATAGGATTTTAATCAATGGAGTAATAAAAAGAAGGATGTGAACTTAATTTTCCTATTATAATCCCCAGTAAATTAGCCACCCAACATGGTCGGTGGTGGATCTAGGAAATAATATTATGGGGGTTAATAAAAATAGCGCGCGCAGCGCGTAAATTTATTTTACCAAAAATAGCATGCATATCGCCATTTCATCGAGTCTTAATAGGCATGAAGTCATTTGGAAAGGCATACTGCACACCTGTTAATGCTTCATTTGAGAAGGTAACTAACATGTTCCAAGGCTACTCTCATATAAATGTTTAACAAAGACACACACTTATCTTGAACACACTAACAATGTTTGATATCATTGCATCTCATTAATATGTTTGTCCAAGAATGATGATACTTTGTTATTCACTGAGATCACCATTTCATTCACTCTTCTTTCATACATTTTATCAAACAATTGGATGGTATGTATGAAGCCAAATCTAATCTTCAAAATGACAACACTCAAGGTATCCATGGACATTTGTAAGAAATTGATATGCAATTGATTTGTATTTACTCAAGAGGTGGAGCCACCAACTTATAGTTACATAAGCATCCTAATATGGTTCCTACAATCAAGTTAAGTCAACTACAAATAAGGAAACAAGTCATTTACAATATTGACATATTCTACATTCCATTCTTAGCTCGATCTCCTTCAACACTCCCCCTCAAGTTGGAGTGTATGTTTATAACACTCAACTTGCCAATGAGCACTTCAAACTGTGTCGAGCTTAATGGCTTAGTGAACAAATCAGCCGGCTGGTTTTCAGTTCGAATATGAGCTGTCCGAATCATCCCTTGTTGAATCTTCTCTCGAACCAAGTGGCAATCTATCTCTATGTGTTTGGTTCTCTGATGAAACACCGGATTCGATGCTATGTGTATAGCCGCCTGATTGTCACAGAATAAGGTTACGAGCTGTGTGTGATCAACTCCCAAATCCTTCAAAATATTCTTCAACCATGTGATTTCGCATCAAGTGGTAGCCATCGAACGATACTCAGCTTCTACACTTGAACGCGATATTGTCGTCTGTTTCTTAGTCTTCCAAGAAACCGGTGCTTGCCCAAGTAAAATGCAATATCTCGTGATTGATCTCCTTGTGTCTTTGCAACGTGCCCAATCTGCATCACAAAATGCCCGCAATTGAAGTGATCCTATAGATGGGAGCAGAATACCTTGACTCGGTGTATGCTTAATATACTTAAGCACTTTATGGGCTGCTTCCAAATGCGGTTACCGTGGCTTGTCCATAAACTGGCTTAGCACATGCACGGCGTAAGTCAGGTCCGGCCTAGTTATGGTCAAATATATCAATCTTCCAACCATTCTTCTGTATGTCGAAGCATCATCTAATAACCTTCTATTGGATTGTGTGAGCGATAAATTTTGTTCCATAGGGAACCGAGAAGGTTTGACCCCTAAGAATCCAGCATCATCCAAAATCTCGAAGGCATATTTACGTTGCGACAAACTGATTCCATACCGTGACCTGGCAACTTCGATGCCAAGGAAATACTTCAGCTGTCCCAAATCCTTAAGCTTGAATTGGTTGGCTAAGAATAATTTCATGTTCTCTATATCCTCCAAATTGTTCCCTGCCAATATGACATCATCAACATATATGAGTAATACCAGGAGGTTGCCTTGACGACTTCGGACGAACATAGAGTAGTCGGATCATGACTGTTGGAATCCCGCAGCTTTAAAGGCAGTAGACAGCTTGATAAACCACTGCCTAGATGTCTGTTTTAAACCGTACAACGACTTGTGCAATTTACAGACCCGATGCTCCCCCTTTCGTCCAAAACCGGGAGGCAAAGACATGAACACCTCCTCATTAAGATCACCATTCAAAAATGCGTTGTTCACATCCAATTGGTGGAAATGCCAGCCTCGTAGAAAAGCCACACTAAGCAGGACACGGACTGTCACCAGTTTGGCAACTGGAGCAAAAGTTTCCCTGTAATCAATCCCTTCAACTTGACTGTATCCCTTTGCCACTAAGCGGGCTTTGTAGCGTTCGACCGTACCATCAGCCTTCAATTTCACCTTATACACCCACTTACAGCCGATCGGCCGTTTATGAGGTGGCAACGGCACCAAGCTCCAAGTCTCATTGGCCTGCAGGGCATCAATCTCAGATTTCATGGCGGCACGCCAGTATGGGTGTTGGACGGCCTGAAAGAAACTTGTAGGTTCTTTAAGGAGGGTAAGTGTGGCAAGATATGTTTTGTGGGTGTGAGAAAGATGATCATAAGATAAGAAATGAGAAAGTGGGTGAGCCGTACCTGAACGAGCGACCAAGTTTGTTGATGACGATGGTGCGGTCCTTGAAGGGAGGCTAGTCTCGAGTTGAAAGTCCTGCAAATAGGCAGGCGGCCGTCGCGGTGCGGAGCTGGGGTGAAAGGTGGGGGGGACGGAGCAGGGAGGTCGGCAGTGGGTGAAAGTGGTAAATGGATAAGTATGGAGGAGGAAATTGGAGAGGTGGGTGTGGTAGGGGAAGAGACAGGGGAAGGTGAGGGTAGATCTGTAGGTGGGTTGAGTAAAGGGGACTCGGGTGGGCCGGTGGGTAGAGGTGGCCCATCAAGGAGGGAAGGCAGGTCCATGTCGAAATGTAAGGAGGGGTCAGGATGGGAGGATGAAAGAGTGTGTAAAGTGGGCGGATTAGTGGACGCAGCGGAGTAGTGAGGAGGTAAGAAAGGAAAGGTATTTTCAAAGAAACTCACATCACGAGAAATAAGGACCTTTTGTTGACTAAGATCGAAAACGCGATATCCTTTTTTACCATGAGGATATCCCAGAAAAATGCACCGAGAGGCTCTTGGATTAAATTTGGAACGATTTTGGGTACGGGTAGAAGTAAAACACAAGCAACCAAAAACACGCAAATGGGAATAATTGGGAGAGCGGTTAAATAACTTCTCATACGGGGTTTTGCCACCAAGGAGAGGAGTAGGGGTTCGATTTATGAGATAGGCGGATGTGAGAATGGCGTCCCCCCAAAAACGAGGTGGAAGCCCGGCCTGAATAAGCAAGGCACGCGCCATATTTAACAGGTGTCTATGTTTTCTTTCAGCAACCCCATTTTGTTGTGGAGTGTTGACACAACTAGTTTGATGGATTATCCCTTTATCTGCATAGAAGTTCCCAAGTTTGAATTCACGGCCATTGTCACTACATATGATCTTAATTGGGGAATCAAATTGAGTGGCAATCAAATTGATGAAATTAACTAGAAGAGTCCTAGCATCAGACTTGTGTTTCATAAGGTAAATCCATGTGCATCGAGTGTAGTCATCAACAATAGTAAGAAAATATTTTGCACCCGAAATGGAAGCAATTTTATAACCACCCCATATATCAATATGAATTAAATCAAAACAAGAATGAGTAGTAATTGAACTTGAAGGAAAAGGAAGTTTGGTTTGTTTAGCCAAAGGACAAATTGCACACTTGTCAGTATCACAAGAGGCTTGTTTAAAATTGGAAAAAGAGAATAATGGAAGAACTCTGGAAGATGGATGTCCAAGACGTTGGTGCCAAAGGGTTGGGTTGGATT